AGAAAGATGCTGTTGGGGAGGTTAGAGAAAACAAATCTTCCCAGTCTGGGGTTGACAGGTCCTTGAGGAAGGAGATACAATGGTGGTCTGACTAGTTTTCCTTTTTAATAGAAAGGGGATCCTGGGACCCAGGGCAGATGTGTGATCAGGTTATTTGGAATAACTAGTTTACCAGGATCATAGAAAAGTGAGGGCTCATTGTAGAGTGTGCTTCTTTTACTTTATGAAATCTGACCTCCCTCCATGGTACCTGGGGTTTGGTTGGTGGAGCCCCCCAGAGATGGCTGGATATACATTACAGGTGAGGTTCTTGCAACAGCACCCGTTTGTCCATCTTCTAAAGTGAAAGGAAAAGTAGGCTGAGTCCTGAGACTTAGACTGTGTAGTTAGTAGTGTTAGTTGGCTTGTAGCATTTCAGTGCAGTTTATTACCAGGACTCTCTCCAGAATCCCAGGGCAGCACCAATGTGGCTCCCATGGCTGTCAATCACTTCAAGGAGGAGGGGCAAAATTCATGTTTGACAGGTAAGAGATGAATGGCATAATTAAAAACAAATATTATTTTTGCCTCCTCCTTGACTCTTTAAATTCTGTCTAGAAATGAAAGGTTTCCTGTTGAACTGGGTGAAAATCCAACAGGTCTTCATGTTTTTGTTTGATTCTGATATAACAAACAGAGCTACAGTAACTTTAGGCCTTACAAACACTAGGAATTAAATTGCACAACTCAGTATACTAAATTATTGTTTTACCCACACAGCTGTTTTTATCTACACAATTGAGGTGGCTTATGCAACAATAGATAATACAGTGATTTCATATATATATATATATATAAACAAAGGGCCAGAGAAAATTTAATTTACCACTTAGCCTATTTGGCCATTCAAATGAGTCTTCATTATTTAAGTGATTTCAGAAATTACCCTTTATTCCTGTCCCTCAGTTTCCCCTTCCTCCTTGATGCAACAGGTGAATTTCTTTCTCTTAGTTCAATTGCATTCCACACATATTTATTGAAATGCATGATGTTAATTCAGCACCATGTTTGGTGTTAGAAGGAAAATCAGATAAGTAAAGAGTAGTTCCTGATTTTATGATCTCTGTCTTTGTGTATCTGTCACCTACTGTCCATTTATTTATTGATACACAAATAGATGATAGATAAATAGGTCAGCAGGTAGACAGATAGATTAATGGTGTGGAAGGTACCAGTTATAGATAAGATAGATACATACATATCCACAAAGATTAAACCAAAGATATATTCTAATAGGAATGAAAGGAATAGGGTACAAAATGAGCAACTGGAAGCTAAAATAAAACCATATGGTTTTATTTAACAGAGAAATAAGCAAAGAATCTGAATATAGAAGAAAGAAACTATTATGCCATCTTGCTGGGGACATGGTGAAATGTGATGGAGTAGGCTTTTCATGACTTTATGTTCATTTTTCTCTCCGACTCAGTCTCACAAAACTCTTCCCTGGCCCTCTGTGTCAATGACATTAGCTTTCTTTTTGTTCCTCAAGGCAACCCTGTCCCTTCCTCTACTGGTGTCTCAGGACACACTCTTCCTTCCACCGGAAATAGCTTGTCTTCCCCATCACAACCTCAGGAAATCTTCCCTGAGCCCTAGGTAGAGTCAGGATCCCCACTATTCTCATAGTATTCCATATTCTAGTTGGTGCCAATCATCAAAACTGTAATCAAACAATTAATTTAAGATTAGATGCTCTGTGTCTTTTGCTTTCCCTAGGATGTACCATCTAGGGAAATGAATCACATATATCTTGGTCATCATGGGCTTGTACGTATCAGGTACTCTGTAAATACATTTGGAATGGATAATTAACTTGACATTTAGGATTCCTTCTCCTCTTCCTCTTCTTCCTTTCCTTCTCCTCCAGCCCAGCTTTCTCTCCCTTCAATACCTGTCTTAAAATCACTCTTTTTCTCTTTGGTTCTGTATTCCTTCCAAGTTCTCCTATTATATGATAGGACCAGTCCAATGAATTAACAGAAGAACTCCCATTTGTTCTCCTCAGTGCATGTCATTCTAGGAACATATCTAGAAATGGAAAAAATGCTAGAAACTTTGGATCTTGTCTGAGAAGAGGCTGATGGTCAGATCTGTAGATAGGAACAGCAGTATCACCTGGAAGTGTGTTTGAAATTAGTCTAAAATGCACACCAGAGCAGACTCTGCATTTTAACAAGATCCTGAGGTGATGGTCCACCTTTAAACACTACTATAAAAGAACATATTTTCTAGAACTAGATGTGTAGAAAAGAAGGCAGGTTTCAGTTATGTGATGTGTCTTCTGGGGAGAAGATAAGAAATGGAATGCAAGAGGTTTATTGGAAGATGATAAAAGACAAAAGTGATAGGAAGCAGAATTCCTTAGGTAAAGCATTCAAACAATGATGCTGATCCAAGACTTGGGAAAGGAAAGAGAAGCCAAAGACAGGTTGGAAAGGGTGAATCTCAGAATAAACACAGATCTCAGTCTTGGCCGACTCAATGGGGACCTCCAGAGCAAAGGTTACTGTTAGGGGAATTTTGCATTGGGCAGAAATGGCCAGGTCCTTGCAACTCTTCTGTGCACAGTCATTGGCAGAGGGCTGCCTGGGGGTTGGGGGGGGAGTTGGGTGGGGATCGAGACCTCTGCTGGAAAGCTGAGACAGAGTGAGAAGGTGCTAACAGATGGAAGTTGACAACTAACTGCACTCCTGCAGCTGATAACCAAGTTCTTTGTTAAGGGAGATCTCCATGGCTGCCAATTATGACATGTGAAGGTAATTTTGCAAGAAACTTGGGAGATATAGTAAAAGCACAGGAAGCCAATTTAAGAAAATACCACATTAAAGGAAGCCTGACTTCAGTGCAGGACTGTTTATGTTGTATTCTGATTCTTCAGAGAACAGTCTTCCCCAAGGTGCCTAGAAGACAAGAGACTCCAGAGACTCTTTCCTTTGGGAAATCCAAAGGGGATTAATATGGCATTTACAAGATGCTTGAGTTAGTAAACAGGACACCATGGTCATGAGTGTCTGACCTCATCCTCCACAAGCTCAGCAGAGGCAGACCTGATGCTGACTGGCAACTTTAAAGAGCCACAGAAAACAAAAGGGGTTTTCAACAAAAATTTGTACACCCAGAACCAAGTTTCTGATCATCCCCCTGTGTAGATAAATTCATAGATCAGAGGCTGTAACATCCACAGCTATAAATCCCCGAACAATTACAGGAACAAAAATAGACAATCTAATGAGATATTCAAGAATTTATTGACTATGGTCATTTAAAATCAAGAATCTGTAGGCTGTGTCTGGAACAGCCAGACATTCCTGGAAAGATTTCCCTTGGTTTGAATCCCCAGCTTCGCCACTTTCTAATTTTGAGATGCTGGGCAAATTAGCCAATCTCTCTGTACTTCTGTTTCTTCATTTATAAGATGGGAACAAAAATAATACTCGCAAAATAGATTGCTGTAAGAATACGTGAGTTAATATTTGTAAAGCACCAAGAATTGGCTGATACATAGTAAGAGCAAAGTAATTCCCTCTCATCATCCACCCTTCACTCCATCTCCCTACACCATGCCCCATGCAGTTGCTAACTATAAGGTTCACCAGGCAGGATCAGTCCTCACCAGGATTTTTAAGTCCTTCCTTCCCCTCCTGTTATGATTTTTGTAAATAAGATTTGGTTGAGAGGGCTGATGGGTTGTGGCAGGGTTATGGGACCAGACAGCTAATCTCATGATGAGGCTGCCAGCCTGGAGCTGCCTTTGGATCTGTCCTGGAGACAGATGAGTCTCCATATATATATTTCAAGGTCCATAGCTTTGCCGTGCCCCCTCCTGTCTGTAACTCTTCCCCAAGAAAATATCATTATTCCTCCAAAAGGAAATATGTATATACACACACACGCAACTGTTGTCTCCTTTCTCCTACTTCGACTCAGCGCAAAGCTTGGTGCTTTCATAGCATGATAGTTGATTTCCCCTCTGGGTCCATTCGGCTTTCAGCGGGTTCCCAGGTGAACTGAAATGCAGAGCTGTTCTCATCTGGTTGCCCTGGGAGTTTCTGTGGTCTCAGTACAACCCGTTCCTCTCTGGCGCAGCTCCTTCCCTCTCTTCCACCCTCTGCGGGTGTGGGGACCTTCTCGCCCCCCTCCTTTCTCTAGCCCAGGGCCCCAGCTGCGCCCTCTTGGGAGACACCCGCTGCCACATACTCTGGAAGTGAAGCTGGAGAAGAAGGCGGGGGAGGCACAAAGGGTGGAGGCCGTGCAGCAGCACAGCCAGAGGGGCGGCTGAAGGTTGCATCTGCTGGAAGGAGGCTTTTCAGCTGCCTGGTAACCGGCTGCCAGAACAGAGAGAGAGGGAGAGAGAGGGAGAGGAGCATAGAGCAGGGCAGCAGCTCTTGACGTCAGGACCAAGGGAGAGGATCCTGTCAGCAACCCCAGCCCGCCCCAAAGCCAGACCAGCGGACTGCGGGAGAGGAGCCGGACAAGAGGTGCAGGCGGAATCTGAGTGGGGGGCACAAAAGCCCTTGGCTAGGGCGCAGCATGCCCCCTGCTCCAGGGCCATGGAGATCACCCTGGTTCCCCTGGAGAACGGAGGTGCCATGACCATCAGAGGAGAAGGTGAGGCAAGAGCAGGCTGTGGTCAGACCACCGGAGGAGAGCTTCGGTATCCTCCTATGGCTGGGCTTAGCGATGGGCACAAAGAGCAGGCTCCAAGGGGGCGCAGCACACAGAGGGGCACGGACCCAGGAGGGCAACCTTTGCCTCCACTGCCTCAGGAACTGCCTCAGCCTAGAGGGCCCACTCCAGAGGATGAGGAGGGAGAAGGCGACCCCAGCTTGGGCATGGTGGAGGACCAGGTACCAGTACTGGGACCGGGGGTCCCTTCACCACCAGAGAGTTCTCATAAACATCTCTGTGCTGCGCTTCGAGGCGCAGCTGGGCACCTTGGCTCAGTTCCCCAATACCCTCCTGGGGGACCCAGCCAAGCGTCTGCGCTACTTTGACCCTCTGAGAAATGAGTACTTCTTCCACCGCAATCGGCCCAGCTTCGATGGCATCCTCTACTACTACCAGTCTGGAGGTCGCTTGTGGAGGCCACTCAATGTCTCCCTAGAAGTTTTCGCAGATGAGATCCGCTTTTACCAGCTGGGGGACGAGGCCATGGAGCGCTTCCCGGAGGACAAGGGCTTCATTAAAGAAGAGGAGAAACCCCTGCCCCGTTAACCAATTCCAACGTCAGGTGTGGCTGATCTTTGAATACCCGGAAAGCTCTGTGTCTGCACGAGCCATCGCCATCGTCTCCGTCTTAGTCATTCTCCTTTCTATCATCATCTTCTGCTTGGAGACCCTGCCTGAGTTCAGGGATGAACGTGAGCTTCTTTGACATACCCCGGTGCCTCACCAGCCTTCTGCCCCCGCCTCAGGGACCAATGGCAGTGGGGCCATGGCACCTCCCTCTGGCCCGACAGTGGCCCCACTCCTGCCTAGGACATTGGCAGACCCTTTCTTCATTGTGGAGACCACGTGTGTCATCTGGTTCACTTTTGAGCTGCTTGTGCACTTCTTTGCCTGTCCCAGTAAGGCAGAGTTCTCCAGGAATATCATGAACATCATTGATATTGTGGCCATCTTCCCCTAATTCATTACCCTGGGCACTGAACTGGCAGAACAACAGCCAGGAGGTGGAGGAGGGGGTGGCCAGAACGGGCAGCAGGCCATGTCCTTGGCCATCCTCAGGGTGATCCGCCTGGTCCGGGTGTTCCGCATCTTCAAGCTCTCGAGACCCTCCAAGGGGCTGCAGATTCTGGGGAAGACCTTGCAGGCCTCCATGAGGGAGCTGGGGCTGCTCATCTTCTTCCTTTTCCTTGGAGTCATCCTCTTTTCCAGTGCTGTCTACTTTGCAGAAGCAGACAACCAGGGGTCCCACTTCTCCAGCATCCCTGATGCCTTCTGGTGGGCAGTAGTCACTATGACCACCGTGGGCTATGGGGACATGAGGCCCATCACCGTGGGTGGTAAGATTGTGGGCTCTCTATGTGCCATTGCTGGGGTCCTCACCATTGCCCTGCCTTTGCCCGTCATTGTCTCCAACTTTAACTACTTCTACCACAGGGAGACAGACCATGAAGACCAGGCAACCCTGAAGGAAGAGCAAGGCAACCAGAGACAGGGGTCTGGACTAGACTCTGGAGGCCAAAGGAAGTACAGCTGGAGCAAGGCTCCCCTCTGCAAGGCTGGGGGGTCCTGAGAATTCCGACAGTAACCGAAGGGGCAGCTGCCCCCTGGAGAAGTGTAATCTCAAGGCCAAGAGCAATGTTGACTTGC